AAGCTGCGTACTCGCAGCTTTTCAGCAGATAACGGTCATCATCTAAAAAAATTGTAACGATTTGAATTTAGTGAATTTAGATATTCTTTCACGATACTATAAGTTTCATATTTATGGCAAAGATCTCGCTGGTGCTTTAATAGATTTTAGACGACCATTCTTAATTTAGTACCGTAGAGATCTATATGTTCTATTTGCCCAACATCAGCGCCAAGCTCTTCAATATAGTATAGTCTATGAAAGAACTTCGTAGTTTTTGTTTTACTTTTTTTGACATGAGCAACCGCATTAAGGAAATGCTGAAGTCATTTTTTTTTTGGTTTATAGATAAAAATTCCAATTCATTGAAAGTATTCTCTACAAGCAGCAGTGATGGTTATTTGTCAGACAGAACTTCTTACCGTTAGAAACCATAGCAACTTGCTCTGTAAGTACCGTAAGCAAAAACTGCGGTGGTAACTCAGTCCCAATATAAAGTGAATCAAGAATAATATTCAAGGCAAAGTTTTTTGTTTGTTTTGTTTTTAAGAAGCGTTCATGACTTTCCACCTTTTGCATGTAGTGAATCTATGCCTACAGCCACTGCGAAAAAAAAAAGGTTTGTTTTTGTTTCCTATTGCACGAGAACTTTCAACTACATTTACGTCACTGGGTCGTCTGAGTAGAGTGTTTTTTTTTATATCATTCAACAAACGTTGAAGATAAAAACTATTTAAGCTTTTTGTTTCTCTTTGAATCTTGATATAAGAAGGCAGCTTTTTGACGAAATCATCACCTCTCAAGAATTGTGTTCAATACATGATCTCTCTTTATCTTCTCTTTTTTGGAATCGTAAAAAACTCTAATTATCACACGTTTGAACTGTTCTTCATTTTTTATATTCTAGATGGGTATTTATTGGTATATAGTTTTACGAGAAGTACAAACCCGAACAAAAGAAAAGCAGATGTCGACGGGGTACGGCGTCTTGTCGTTTTCTTTGCTTGACTTTTTACCCACTCACCTAATAATTCTATGCAAAATGTATTATCTTGATATATTTGTTTGATTGTATTCAACCTTCGTTGTTGCGAAAGGAGTTGTTTCGACACATAAATTAAAAATATTCTAAGTGATTAACAATTTCACTACTCTGCGGACGTTGACACCTAAGGCTGCTCTCACTATTGTTATAGTAATGTTTATTTAAACTGAATGATTTGACATATGTCAGTATGACACTCCCGCTCTCGAATTTATGAGAATTTTGTGTCACATGAAAATTTGTTGTCTGGAATGTACAAAATCCTAGCCAGACGTAATTGGATATATTAAGATTGAATATTTTTGCTTATTATATGTTATCTTCTTTATTCTAAAACTGCAGGCGTGAGTCAAACAAACTTACCCTCAAGGGTTGATAGCTTAGCCCAAAAGAGAATATGGTGCGTTTGAAAGTGTATCATCCCATAATCACCCTCACTAGACGGGACACCGTGGGCCTCCTTGGTTCGGGCTGCCGTTCTTCTGCGATGCCGTGGCTCTCCGAGGCATTATTGTTGTTATTATTACTATTACTTAGATTATTATTAGTATTAATATTATTATTAGCATTTCTTATTTATGGCATACGTATAACAAAATATTTCACGGTATATACAGCTGTAGACTTAATATACCACCAGCGAAAACATCAGTACCCTGCTCTAGATTAAATATATTCTAGCTAAGGGCTGTCAGCGGCCGCGACAAAATTGACTACAGAACGGACGGGCTTAATGATAGAGAAGTTCCCATGGTCATTAGGCAGTTTCCCAACGAAACTTCGCGCCTTTCTCACGTGAGCGCAAAGCACGTGTGCAGCCAGCGTAATTACGTCCATCGGCCAAACAGTCAAGGCGAGGTGAATGAAGGAAGAAAACGAGCCTGGAAACACGAAATATTTAGCACCCAAATTATATGCACATCTCATTAGGGGCCCAAGAACATAGTGACTTACAATTGCTGTAAGAAATTAAATGTAACGAAATAGTTTTATATCACAAACACAGAAACTCCGCTCTCCTACCTTCTACTTGACAGAAATTGCACTCCTAAGACGCTTACTTAAGAAGAGATGGTTATAAATAATTACATATTCCCCCAATGGAACATATTACGTTTTTTCCCGCCGTTGGAGACCAAAGAACAGAAAAAATGGTTGTCCTTTGTCCCTCTCTTTCCCCTTCTCCAGGGATTATTTTCGTCATTCTTGTCCAGCTCGCTTGCAACCTTTGCATTTAATTGCATTATAATCATAACCTTAAATTGCAAGCTTCACCCTTGTTGGTGTTAGACTGGTGGCGGCTGATAAAACCCGTTTGCTCTACTGATGACTAACCCCTGGTTAGCTCGATTGGTAGAGCGCTCCACCTGTAATGGAGAGGTCCCGGGTTCGATACCCGGACCAGGCGGATTTTTTCGGTCGCGCACCAGTCACCTAGCTGTGTTTGGAGATTTGTGTTTGTCCTTTGTCCCTCTTGTTCCCCTTCAACAGGGATTATTTTCGTCATTCTTGTCCAGCTCGCTTGCAACCTTTGCATTTAATTGCATTATAATCATAACCTTAAATTGCAAGCTTCACCCTTGTTGGTGTTAGACTGGTGGCGGCTGATAAAACCCGTTTGCTCTACTGATGTCTAACCCCTGGTTAGCTCAATTGGTAGAGCCATCCACCTGTAATGGAGAGGTCCCGGGTTTGAACCCGGACGAGGCAAATTTTTTCGGTCGCGCACCAGTCACCTAGTTGCGTTTGGAGATTTGTGTTTGTCATTTGTCCCTCTTGTTCCCCTTCTCCAGGGATTATTCTCGTCATTCTTGTCGAGCTCGCTTGCAACATTTGCATTTAATTGCATTATAATCAAACTAAATATTCTTATTTTTTCGCACATTTTTGTTTAAAATATCTCAAAACAAATCAAAACATCATATTCTGAGATTTTATAATTTTTCGAACAATTTCCCAAAGCTTAGTTTATAGTTTTTATTTACTTCTGTATGAACCTAAAAAATTAATAGTGCCCTTAAATTCCTATCAAAACAATCCCTCGATTTCCATAGCAAGGACGTAATATTTAAGGTTCTGAGGTTTTCTTCGCGAACAACTTTACATTTCAATAAAAATCATGTTTAATATTGAAACAGTGCACATTTTTCGTGACCTCGCTTCACATATAACGCAACCAGGTCGTTTAAATATTTTTTTATTACTAGCAAGCTAAGAGGTCTGTACGTTAAGCATTTTCATAAGTTCATCTTTTATTCATGAACGCACAGTCTTTGTTATACATTGCACTAGGATCTTATTATCATAAAAGGAAAAGGAGCAAAATTCGGGCTTTTATGGTAAATCAGTAAGAACCCCCCTGCAACATGTGTATATTTACAGCCGAATGACTAAATACTAGGCAAAACTTGCGGCGTACGCGGCCCCTTTGTTGCAGAACGTTAGAGCGAGTAAATTATAGTTTGAATAAACAATGAAATTTTATTATATTTCGTGCAATTTTAAAAACTTTGAAAATGTAAAAAAGGGCCCAGTAACGGTCCAGCTCAAGTATAAGTAAATAAGCGTTTCCTTTTGACTGTAGCAAGCAATGCCAAGTTGTGCATCGTTTTGTGTTTTGTGGCTAGAGGCACACTGTAAAGTAAAAGTAAATGCATCGTGAGCGCTACGATTATAACCATGTTGAATTAACCTGAGACTGTGGTATAGAGGAAGCATTATAACTATTATAACATAGAAGAGACGGAAAGTAGACAGGACGAAGCCTCCTGTCTATTTCTTTTTACACGACGTCCGATCAATTTTTTGTCTCTTTCATGTTTTTATGTTTCTTTTCTATGACTGTCTCAGGTTAATTAAACATGATTCATATTCACCAGCTCGCCTGCACCCATACGGTATTTGCTAAGGTAATATTTCGTACTGTAGGAACTTCCAAACCGTTTTTTTTTAAATTTACAGAGCAGTATTTGGAGCAGTTAAACCAGGTTCCATGGTATTAACCATTCTTGGCAGCATGACAACTACCCAAGTAATATTTGTATATTTAGTTTTTAGAAAAAAAATACTCGAATAGTTTCTAATTAACCACGACAAAAATGGTTGAAGAGTGACAAAAATATAGTATCTAAAATTCGTTTGTTGGTACGACTAGCTTTTTCTTATCATGGACTACTTTAGTTAAGGAGTACATTACCGGAAATAAGACAGGGGTAGGATGAAGGAATTGTTAGATCAAGGGGGAAATGATGGTAAGACTATATTCTTGACGAATACTGAATGACTATTTACTGTTTTCAATAAATAACAAAATGCAAATGAAAAGCTTGAGTGTGCACAGCCACCATAACGTAAGATATGTGGAAGACGTGTTATTGATATATTGCAAACTAAAGGATGGAAAATATGTAAAAACAATTTTGGATAATTATACACCAAAACTTATTTCAACTTCCAACAGTCATTACTCTCTACTAAAGTCCTCTACTGTTCCTTCCCCGCCCGAGAGGATGAAGGAAGTGATCGATTTCAATGCACAAAAACTAATTCCGGTTTTATCACTTGAAGTGTTGTATTACCGTGCTTCGCAGTCTTGTAAAGCTCCGCAATAACTATGCAACTTACGACTGTCCGCTTTTAAACAGGACATTGTAAATAATGTAAAGCATGTTTCATTGGTACGCCGTTTTTCTCTACTTAGTCCAAATTATTATTGAGATAATGCATCCACAAGGTGTTTTTGATATAAAATTACTTAGTGGATACCTCTGTATTCTTGAGTATTCAGTCCCAATACTAAGAAGCTCTTTAATATTATTGCCTAGAAATTTTAGACCGGGATGTGACGAACAGGCAACCACCGGAACTCAGGATGTCGTTTGCCTCATAAGAGTTTGACAAAATATTCGAAAAATCAAGTTAACTGCATTAAATTCTTGGTTAAATATTTTTGCGCGAAAAAGGCCGATCCACTTACTTCGTGCCTTCTGGGAGATCTTTCCCAGCAGCTGATGAAATTCCACGTCGTGGTCATCCTCGTCGAAAGAGTGGTGCGACGCGTTCTTTCCCAGAGCAGTGAAGACGGACGAGAGCGAAAAGTAGCACTCCGTGTGACCCTTGGAGTTGTCCTTGAACTGGTGAAACAGGAAGGCCACCACAGTCCAGTCAAATTGCCGCATCACCTCGACAAACACCTGACCTAGACTGGAAAAGGAGCCATTCATCCTCGTCAGCAGTCGGTAATAGACGGACTTGCTGTCAAAGTGGTCGTTCTGGCCAGCAGCTGTGAGCAAAGGAAGCCCCCATTCCGATGCGTACCGGATGACCGGCGCCAGTACGTAGGGGCAGGATGGACCAAAGAAGACGTCTACCTGGCCCGAGATGTAGTAATCGAACACGGAAAGTGGTCCGTTTGTGGACGAACACTTGGTGTCGTAGTGGTGTACGATCACGTTGAGCTTTGTCTTGGAAACGGCCACCAGGACGGCTGGAAGCACCTTTTTCAGGGCGTAGGGAAGGCTGTTATCGTCTGGCGCCAGCACGAGAAAGTGAGGAGTCCTTGGAGACAGTTGGCGAAGACTGTCCATGCGGATTCTGTCGGCTCTGCCGGAGACCTGAGCACGCGACGAGCACACGACTGCAGCGAGCGTGAGTGCCACGGACGGGAGGATGGACAGCCGTGGAGGTGTCATCTCATGCCTGGGTTTGGAACGTCGAGCCGGCTCGTGGGTGCTGCTCCGACTGTCGCTGTTTGCCCGCTCCTCGCTTCGGCCAGAGTTCTTGGTGGACCACGCGACGGCGCGCTCCCTCAATTGAGGTAACTGGATTTTGCTTCTGGGCGCCTTTAGGCTGTGCGTGCGTGCTTGTGTGTGCAAAGCTTCGGAGGCGGAAACCGGAGTCCGGTAGGAAGCGGACGCGCATCGCCATCTGTTGGGGAAGTGGGATACTTGGGAACGCCGAGGGTTTGCGCGCTTGGTTCAGATGAACTTCGTGCTTTTGAACGGTTTTTTAAACATGGCTTGGGTTGCAGAACCACGGGTTGAACATTAATGACCACATTCTCTAGGCGAATATTAAAAGAAGTACTTTAGTTATCACGAAAAGAAAAAAAGCATCGCGAAACAAAAAGTACCAAGTGAACAAGTAGAACATCTAGCCGTGCTTGTTCACATTTATACGTCTCGTTTATTTTTGGTGTTTTTTATTGTTTCTTTTTATTTAGGGATATTTTGTTTCTTAAATGACACACAATCTAGCCGATGGTAATATGTGTGTCCGATGACGAGTCCTGTTTCCGTGTATTGTTATATATTTCAAGTGAAACTGTTTCTCTATGACACTGAAGTAGTGACTCCACATTTTAAGGGAATCTAACTGAAATTTTACAAATTCGCGTTTCTTTCAAAACGAAATACAGTCGCTATATTTCGTGTTATGAAAACATAATTTTCAAGGCCCTTTATATTACCTGCACTAGTGTGGAAAAAGAAGACTGTGTTGAAAGGTTATAGCATAGCGTCCCATGGTGAGCTATATTGTCAAGCAAAGCTTGGACGTCTTCTTAATTTTCAGTTCTTTCTTCAAATTTCTGCTACATTTGTGATTCGCCTGATTAAGATAAAATACTTTCTAAACATTATTTTGGAAACGGCTGTCCGTAACTTTTTCCGGGGGATAGAACTCCGAGTGAAAACATTGCCTTATATTAGTAGTCTGTATTTTGTCTATTCTTACCCGCTGAATTTAATTTTTCAAACGCGGGAAATAAAGGGATACGTGTGTTTGAGGCCTACTGAATCAAATAATACTAACTTAAGTCAGTTTTATCCGCAGGTAAGTCAATATAGTACACTTTTCACATAGATGTGGGACAAATGCTTAGCTATTAGCCCATAAAACATTCGCATTTGAATCTAATTTTCTTAGTTGAGCAATACCTCTCATCTTTGACCTTCTTAAGCAGCTGCTAGTCTCTCGTTCGGCCGCCTCCGTCAACTGCAGTTAATATATATCTTTTTTTATGATGAAATATTTATCTTTGTATGATTTATACAGTTTGTACAGTTTGACTGTCACGAAAGTCTAAAAGCGGTTTATAGAAATTAGACTTTAAAGATGGCGCTCTCTATTATCTCTATTGCAAAAAAGTTATCTCTAGAATTCCTTTAGAAATATTAGAATGCACTTTCTAAATAAATTCACTGTATGAAAAAAGTAAACACATGAAGCGATATATCTCAAAACAATTTTTAGAAACCAACATATACCTAGAGTAAAGTACATCGACACCACGACACATAAAGGAAACGTTTTTCACAAAACAGTGCAAAGGTCAGTTTCAGAACTTTCTTTTGCTTTGTCGATGTTCGCTGCTCAGAAGCCAGTTGCCTCTTTCCTCGAGTCACAGACTTTAGAATATGATGTCCCCTACATCATATTCTACAAAACACGTACACAGCATCTGGAGCATACACTGCCCGACACAATCAGCGCAGCTACGGCGTCGACGCTTTAGCGCATATTACGCAAAAAAGACATCGATTAAAATCTTTCTTTGTTTATGTTTTGGTTCAGAATGAGCAATTTTGATATCACTAATGATATTGATTACATTCTTTTTTACTTGATATAAAACAACAAAGGAAAACAAAAGCCCTTGGACATTTCCGCTACACCCGACCCGATCTGTTCAAAAACGCGCGGAGTAGTGCCATATGTCTGAAAACAAGGACGTTACGCTATCTGCAAATAGCATATGCGGCCTACAGGGGAGACCTACAGCGCCTCCCCACTCAAGAGGGGGGGGGGGGGGGGGTATTCAAGTCCCCAGTCCCAGTGCTCGTAGTACATCATACAACAAAACACACTGAGTTCGCTGCACACGCGAGGACAAACTTATCTAGAGACACGCATCAAAATTCTCCGCGGACACGCAGACATAGTGAGAGAATTATCTGCGGATACGAATGAAGCATGTTCAAACCATGTTTGTTTCCTATGTATGTATTTGCTTCCAGCATGTCTGAAGGTAGTTTTCTTATAACCTCGGTAAGAGGACCGTCGTACAATAAAAAAAGCAGGCCTGAGACAATAATAAACTTTAGGGAACCGATTTTGCACGTCCGATACTATACGATGGGCCCTCCGGCTTGCACTGCGCATGCGCCACCACAGAAGGCTCGCACATGCGCAGTTCGTATCGGACGGCCCATCGTACCGTATCGCATGTGCAGAGACGGTTTGCGAAAACTCTCTAATGTGTCTAAAAACTGTGTTTTGTACGATGTATTAGCAGTGCGAATGCGGCGCGTCTTAGGCTTTCCTCGTCGAGTAAATTCATGGGGATAATCCGGGATTTACTCCGTGAGGAAATCCCTGATTGTCTCAAGAAATAAGGATTGGCTTTTCTTTTCCGAGCACGTCTCGAACGCGCGTAGCCTTCGGCAACGAGGCCCACGCCGCGGCGGCGGTATCTTTCTTTTTTTCCTAATGGAAACGTTACCCTGGCTTAACGAGGTAGAACGAAGAGGGAGGGCGAAGGCGGGGAGGGGTGTTGAGGTGAACAGCCATCAGTGTTTAACGCTCTTTCACGCTTATCGCTTCAGAGATAATAATGCCGCCTCGAAACGTTTCCTATTTACGGCCCTGTCGGAAACGGCCCATCTTTGCATGTGGTTCTAAGCGCGAGTATTGCCGCCTTTTAGAGCGCGAGGAGGTGTTAGTTATTTTCGTAGCCGTAGCTGTAGTTTACCTACCACGTACCCCTCCTAACAATATGAACACCCGATTCTGAATTTTTTGTCTGCTTTTGTCGCCGCCACAAGCTCGACAGTTTCTCACTTTGTCAAATATTTTGAAGTATGGGACCTCAACTTTGCACTCCATTCCATGTTCAGACCACAGCTCTCTCAGAAAATGACAGGAACGCACTAAGAACACTATGAACCGCTTCGGTACTCATATTTTCTAAGATGGTAAAGCCTCCAAATGTTTTGCCGACATCGCGCGAACGCAGACCGCCGGTAGATCAGCGCCTTATTGCGGTATAAAACAGCAGGTCAGCGAGACTACGCGTGTGCCTTCTCGCTAGTCAGCGAAAGGCACACGCCTAGCTTCACTAACTAGCTCTTTCACGCCTTGGTAAGCCGCTGACCTACCGGCAGGTCTGCATTCGCGCTGTATTGTTAAAGAGAACTTTGGAGGCTGTACATGGCGTCAAAGCTGCTCGACTTGCTGACGAGCCGTCTTATCTGAAATAACGAGCGCGAAAGGATCACGGCCGTCTGGTGCTTCCGAACGAGCGGGACGATCAAAAATCGGTGAATTTAAGGGGAGAAAGTAGGGGGGCACTTTCCTGTCCCCTTTCTTCTCCTCTTGTTCCCTTAAGGAACATTTTTTTTATAAAGATTTTAGATACACCACCCTTTTCAGGAAGAAATGTTTAGTGTTTGGTCACAGCAAATGTTACTTTAACAAAATATACCTGGGCAGCGTTCCGCCCATGACGCCATCTCCCTGAAGCCCCCAGCCCCCCCTTGAGAGGGGAGGCCTTTAAACCTCACTGGATATCCATATCAAGCAGGGACCCTTTAAGCCACTGCTGGATATGCCTCATGGTTCTACTTCGTGTGGATGCCGCAAATCGCCGTTCGCGGCGTGGAATTTTGCTCGTAAAGGTTCCTTCTCTGCGCTATGACTCTTTTGGAGGTGAAGCGCGCCCGAGAGACCAATTCGCGCCTCTGGGTACATGTCTCGTAGGGCTCGCTAGACAGTTCGGTACATCGATCACGACGCAACAAACCTGATTGGAATAAAACGATGTTGGTGCAGCCCAAATAACATTGACCTTCGCTTAAGATAATGACTTCTTAAAGTTAAATACTTCAATCTGAAGGTTTCCATATAACTGGACTTCACAGGTCGACTCTGAAAGAGCGAGAGCAAAATTACAGGAGGAGCAAGTACCTATGGGTGAGAACAACTGTGCACACTGCGCGACAGGGTTAGCGGGATCATCGACTTCGGGCTTTTCCATATCTGACTTCGAAATTATACTAGCGGAAATCAAAATTTACCACTTGGGTTACTACCACTACTACCCACTTTAGACCACTGAAGTGTTTTTTCGTGATAATGCTTTAATACTAAGAAGAAGAAGAAAAAGGGAGAAAACAGGCGAAGGTTTGTTCGCGCTAATGGTGTTACAGCCTGTACAGCCGCGTTTAGGGTACGCACTAGGTCGATGCCTTTGATATAGTGTCGTACAGAGATAACGGGATCTTCGTGTCAGATACACAACACTGTTTTTTTTTCTTTTTTGCTGAAAGATAGAAATGTTCTAGTAATGTCACCAAACAGCTGAAATGAGTGTTGCGCCCTCTGACGGTCAGCCTCGTTGTGATAAAAGGCCAAAGTATGCTCTCTTTTACTTTACCATGGAGCGCAAGAAAGGCTATGGTAACTACCAGGAGTTTCTGCGCAGAATTTCTAACGTCCTTCTAAATAGAGCGATTGCGAAAAAAAATATATACTTTTTTTTTCGGGACAAACTGGCAGCCACAGCGGGTGTCAGTAAATCCAAGAATCATGCAAATTAGAAAAACTAAGAAAAACTTGCCTGACATTTACTAATTCGGTACTTCAGTTAATGAAAATAAACACATGGTTTCGTTCAAACCTTGCTGAGAGTCATCGAAAACCCTTAAATAGGTCAATACGAGTGGAGTAAACTTTGCGTAGTACGCAAAGTTTACCCCACTCGTCCAGCAGCCTAAACGCCGACGATGCGAAAACACG